TGTAAAAAAGGGCTAACATAACAAGGGCTAATATGCCAAGGGAAACAATTTTTAATGTTTATTTATTTGAGAGACAGAGAGAGAGAGAAAGAAAGAGAGAGAGTGCAAGAAAGGGGAGGAGCAGAGAGAGAGGGAGACACAGAACCCAAAGCAGGCTCCAGGCTCTGAGCTGTCAGCACAGAGCTCGACGAGGGGCTCGAACCCACGAACTGTGAGATCGTGACCTGAGCTGAAGTTGTACGCTTAACTAACTGAGTCACCCAGGTGCCCCTAGGGAAACTTTAAAAAATGAAAGAATTACTCAAAATAGAAGGAGGAGAAATAGCTTTCTACGTAGGGGAATAGCCCAAGTCAAGTCAAGAAGGCAAAATAGCATTTTAGGTTTCATTATAGCACTAGAATTAAATTTAATAACATATAATCTTAAATATAAATGTTTTTCTCAGCCATATAAATTTTTAAAAATAGGTCAGGGTATTATCCAATCCTTAGTCACTAATAACCTGGATAGCACTGTGGTATCCCAGAAAGTCCAAGAAAATGGTCGAGGAAAAAGTAAAATCAGTAAGAGAACTTTAGCTCAACTTGAATTAAATGTGTCAAAGATGAGGCAGTGCCTCTAAGATATTTGGACATAATCTTGTGAATTATTTGAGGCTGGGCATGATATTTGTTCTACTACACAGATTTGGCCTTACCTGGGAGTGTTACCAATTTAGGATAATGATAAGCAAATTCTCAACCAGGTTTTTGTGGGCCAGACAAGCAATGTGAATGTGTACTTTTGAATTATAAGGGGAGGCATTCTCCTGCCTCAGTCTAGAGTCAAGTTTGATCATTTTAGTGCCCCTCTGCTCCCATAAGAGTTTCTGTTTTGTTTTGTTTTTCAATTCTACCCATTCTCTGAAGACATTTCTCTTTTTGAGTCTGGGTTACATGTGGGGGTCCATCTTGGTTTAAGCACTCTTCATAAGATATGAACAGATATGCCAGGACACTGGCTCTCTCCAATGTTTTGTTACCTCTCTTACTGTTTTTGGCCTCTTAACAATAGATGTATATATCCGTATCTGTATCTGTATCTTCGTCTATATAATCTATATCTATACTCTTTCAAGATACTTTATTCAAATGATTAGTTAATGTCTCCATTTCTATTGCTGTGTAACAAATGATCCCGAATCTTGGTGGCTAAAGTAACAGCAATGGTAGATTACAGAGATAAGCTTGTCTTGTGCAGATGACTTTTAGCGATTTCTTTAAAAATAAAAACAGATGACCTTTATACTGACAAAAATAAGTTTGAAAACAATAATAAAATAGGAACTAAGACCTAATGTATGTCCGTGACTGAAATGTGCTTGTCCATAAACGACAATATGATTGTCCCTGATCTACTTTTTTGACTCTCTACTGATCAGTGGGTCCACCTGCCAGGCACACAGAAGGAGGCTGGAGAAAAAGGTAGGATCTAGTCAAAACAGAGAAGAGCTTAAGGTGAAGAATAAGGTCCTCGTCTTGGCTTCTCTGGCATAAGTTAATCAACAACTTAATATACATTGAATTCAAATGCTGGAGAGGATTTTAAAGGGGGAGTGGCAGGGTCCCTTCTGCAACAGAATTTACAATGGGTTATGGAGAGTGGAACCAGGAAGTGAAAGAGGTGAGGATTTCAAGGCTAATTGGAAATAGGTTTGCATCTTGACTTGGCAACTGGCCTTGAATAAATTACATTGTTAAAATATTTTTTGAAGATGAAAGGCACAATTCTAGAAAGAAAGAAAGAAAGAAAGAGAGAAAGAAAGAAAGAAAGAAAGGAGAGAAAAGAAGGTCACAATGAGACACACCCTTATGAAATTTCAAACACTAGAATAAAGAGATCCTGAAAACATCATAGGAATGAAAATTAACAGGCATTGGATTTCTCATTAGTAACACAAGATGCTAGAACACAATGGTGTAATTCTTTCGTAGTTCACAGGGAAAACATTTTCAGCATAGAACACTGTAGTTGGCTTTGGTGGAAAGTTGTGTTTTTCGACTCAACATCCATTTTTTTTTCCTCTTCCTATTTGTAGGTACATCTCCAGTTTTGTTGAGTATTTGCTGAGCTGGGATAAGCCAAGGAGGGGCCCTGGATAACGAATTATTGGTCTAAATCAATTGTGACAAAATCATTCCTCTTTGCTATTGATTATTCAAAGGGTGGGACTGCCATGCAGTTCCAGCCAAGGAGTCTTCTGGGTCTCTGGAAACAACTGTTTTCCTGATAAAAAGAAAGAGCTATTCAGGAAGAAGTCTCTTCCCTAGTGGTCCATCTTCTTGCCTCAAATTCAGTTATTTGAGGATATTATGCTTGGATTTGTGTCACCCATCTTGTGACTACAAGAAGCAAAGTGCTGATGGCCAGGGAGAATAACAGAAAGAGCCTAGGTCGTTGATAATGGTGTTTAGCCACTGCACCAAGCCTGGTACCACCCACCTCCAGATTTCCTGTTATTTCAGATAATAAAGATCTTTCTCGCTTAAGGTGTTGTGGGATGGTTTGTCACCTGCAGCAGAATGCATTGTGAATGATCCATGGGCCAAGTTATCTATGAGGCAGAGGATGTAAAGATATTTTATCTTCAGACTTGGAAATACTCAAACATTTGCAGGTCATGCATTCCATTTTAGAGATTTACCTGCGGATCTATTCCAGTAAATCCAGGAAGGCAATCAGGAAAGGAAGCAGAATCCACCCCAAAGGAGATTAAAGGGAGTGCTGAAGTGATAGCAGAAAGCCTGGAGGCAAGAAACCAGATTGGAAAAAAAGGAGAAAGGGTTGGAAGTGCATCAGAAGGGCGAGAGGGAAATTTCCAGGGGGCGGGGGGCGGGGGGGGGTGTGTACTCAATAGATAGAAATTATAGTTGAGAGTTTGGGCTACACTAAACATATGATCATATGACAAGGGGAGATAAATACAGAATGAAAGAAGGTAACTAGGAACCCCGGTATATGCATCTTGGAGAAGGAAGGTAGAGAATAAACAAGAGAGACCTGACATGAACATGGAATGAACCATGTTGCTGCATATGCTAACAAGTGAGGTAAATTAGAGAAGCTATGCAATCCTGCTAAGTAGAAATAGTCACCTTTGGAAATTCCATAAGTCTTAGCATTGGACCCATCTAGGCTTAGCAAATGAGCAATGATCATATAGTTTTCAAAATTAAATATAAATAAATGTAGTATAATCACATAAGCACCGATAGAATTAAACTTTCGATAAGGAATAGACATTTTGGTGCTGCTTGTCTGGTGGGATAGACAAAACGATGCTACTGATAATGTAAGAGTATAGAGGACATAAAGCTGGAATTCACAGTGGGGTACAAACCGATAGGAAAAGTTAAGGCATGAGTATCCTAAACTTAACGATCTAGTGTAATAGCTTAGATATTACATATCTTACATACTAGATATTAGGTATTGGGCAGCACTGGTGGAATAAGAGAGATGTTGGGGCGCCTGGGTGGCTCAGGGGGGGTTAAGCGTCCGACTTCGGCTCGGGTCATGATCTCGCAGTTTGTGAGTTCGAGCCCCGCGTCGGGCTCTGTGCTGACAGCTCAGAGCCTGGATCCTGCTTCGGATTCTGTGTCTCCCTCTCCCTCTGCCCCTCCCCTGCTCATGCTCTGTCTGTCTCTGTCTCTCAAAAATAAATACGGATAAAGTTTTTTTTTTAATAAATAAATAAATAAATAAAAAGAGATAAAGATTTTGCTCATTTATTCTACTTTTCTCTTTCACCAAATCTCCAAATGTTTGATTTTCTATTATTCTTCTTAGTTATTCTGTCGTCTACTTTTAACATTAAATAGTATATTTAGGGGCGCCTGGGTGGCGCAGTCGGTTAAGCGTCCGACTTCAGCCAGGTCATGATCTCGCGGTCTGTGAGTTCGAGCCCCGCGTCAGGCTCTGGGCTGATGGCTCGGAGCGTGGAGCCTGTTTCCGATTCTGTGTCTCCCTCTCTCTCTGCCCCTCCCCCGTTCATGCTCTGTCTCTCTCGGTCCCAAAAATAAATAAACGTTGAAAAAAAAAATTTAAACATCTTTCTTTTTTTTTAAACGTTTATTTATTATTGAAAGACAGAGAGAGTCTAGAATGTCTCACACAATCCTCTTGTCCCCTATTTGTCTTCCAAATCCCACCTCATATTGTCACCTACTCTGTGAAACATTCCCAGCCCCCTGTCACCCTTGCTCCCAGACGGCACCAGACAATAACTGTGTGCCCCCTCTATAGCATTAATTTATACATTCGTCCATTCAACATACTCCGGAGGGGTGGGTTATTCTGTTCCAGGCTCTGGTGTAGGTGCTAAAGATACAACTGCAAAAAAGATAAGCCACCTATGGGCACTCTTCTCACGGAACTGACACTTTATAGGGAGGAAAAGAATGAAAGGTCTGATTGTCAAATTAAGGAATTACAATCGTGGTAGGGGCTATGAGCTTTGCCCTTCTTTTCAGAGAATAAGGAATTCACTGAAGATTAACCTCAATGAAATATGTTTGTGGCCAGATTAGGAATGTGTGAGTCGCAGCCTGTGGACCAAGCCCAGTCTACCACCTGTTCTGGCAAATAAAGTTTTATAGGAACACAGCCATGCTTTTTGTTTGCTTATTATCTATGGCTGCTTTCACCCTGTAATGGCAGAGTGAGGTCATTGCAACAGCCATTGTATGGGATGCAAAGCCTGAAATATCTTTTCTTTAGAGAAAATGATCCTTGGAATAGATCATCCTGTGAACAATGCAGAGAGCTGTTCATGCTTTTATGCTTGTACCCACTGTACTAAGATCATCTGTATACGTATTTGGTCTCCCCATTATCATACATTGAGATCTTCTTTGTACAGGGACCATATTCAATTCATCTTAGTTTCCCTAACTTCTGGTACATTATTGGTACAATGAACAACTCATTGATTGAATCAATCGTCTTCCTCTACCTCACAGGTCATCTAGTCCAGCTGCTAATTTAACTGATTTGTTAATTAAGGTCAAGGGAGTTTGTGGGACTTTTCCCAAAACACCCAGCAAGTTAGTATCCATAGTGGGTCTCAAATCCTGATCTCCTCTTCTCCTTCTTCCTCTTCTTTCTCTTCCTCCTCCTCCTCCTCCTCCTCCTCCTCCTTCTTCTTTTTCAAATCCTGATTTCTTGACTGTCACTCTTCTCATCTCTGTTCTTACTTTGATTCAGCTGCCTCAATTGGTCTAAAAATAAGCAATCATTTGAATATCACTAGAACCAGGAAACTGGAGCTATGCATCTACTTATAGAGTCATGCTTTGAGAGCCACGATGACTCAGTTATGAAGAAAACGTGCCCAGGAGCTTTGTCTCAGTCTGTGTTATAATTGTCTTTAGAGAGTAGAAGTGTGTGCATTATCTTAGCAGGCTGAGCTCGATGAAATACCCTGGAAAGCTCTGAGGACTCCTACGTGGAGGTCAGGGATGCAGAAGCCTCCGTATTGCTGTTTCATATGCCTGTTTGCCCTTCCTATTAGAAGGCTGGGAATATAATTAGGAGACAGGCACCACAGATGCCGCAGTTTACAATAACCAGAAGAAACCGTCGAAACGGGTAAGACGTGAAAGGATAATTTTGCTTATGCAAAATAGCAGACTGCAAACTAAAACCAAGAAAAACAAACAGGCAGATGGAAAGAGTGGAGAAGGCATTGGCACAGCTGTGAGCGGGGTTTAGACACCCAGATGCAACATCATTTGGGGGGATGGGTGGGAGAGGAAGAGAATCTGAGAAAAAAAAAACAAAAACAAAACGAAACCTGAGATACAAAATAGATACCGGAGAATAATGGGTTTCTCATCTCTCCACCGGCAGGTTCAACTTTTTCACATCCACCTCCTCTTACCCTGGCTGTGGCAAGTCATTTCCTGGGGGAGGGAGGAGGGGACTCAAGGACAGAGAAGATAAACAGGCATCCTTCCTAATAGAGAAGGCAGTGGCAGCAAAATCAACAGCTCTGATTGCAGTGAAAGAAGAAAGACATAGCCATTACCCAGAAGAGGGCGAATAGTGGTGTTTGGTTTTATTATTAGCAGCATTATTTAGATAGCAACACATGTGCATGGCTGCCTTTCCAGATAGAGCCATGGGAGGGGCAAGAAGGCCAGAACCACCCTGCCAGGAGTTTCTAAGAACGCATTAACCACTGTCATGGAAACTGCAAACATCATTGTGGTTAATCCCCCTCCCCCAACAACACCAGCACAAAACCTCAGTGATGTACTGTGTTCTCTATTTTTAGGGGTTAGGAAACTGAAGGTCAGCGGGGAAGAGGCTGGATTTAAACTAGAACTTTTTTTTTTTTAATGTTTATTTATTTTTGAAAGAGAGAAACAGAGCGTGAGCAGGGGAGGGGCAGAGAGAGAGGGAGACACAGAATCCGAAGCAGGCTCCAGGTGCCGAGCTGTCAGCACAGAGCCCGACGCGGGGCTCGAACTCACGAACCGTGAGATCGTGACCCGAGCCGAAGTCAGACGCTCAACTGACTGAGCCACCCAGGCGCCCCTAAACCTAGAACTTTATGATATTCTTGAGTGTCTTCTCCAACCACTGAAGGGCAGACGCAAATCAAAGTGATCAGAAGATACATTTCTGTTATGTCAGACCAAATGTGAGACCCAAAGGGATCAACCATGGGTTCCTCAGCAAACAGTGACTCCGCAGAGAAAGTTCTGTTGCCCAGAAGAGACACAGAGAGAGACACAGAGAGAGCACGCTTCACTCTGCCATGCTGCCACAGCACTGTGATTCCATTTCTCTCCAAATGCTAACATTTTCGTTCTTTTCTCTCTCTCTCTCTCTCTCTCTTTTTTTTTTTTTTTTACAGTTGGCTGTTTATGCTTTTTACTCCCACTGTACTGTGAGCCCCTGGAGCAGAAAAATTGGACATCATTCATGCTTTTATCCCCAGGACCAGAAAAAAAAAAAAAAAAAAAAAAGCCTGCCTGTCCTTAAGGCTGCTACATGGCCCAGCTCCAGAGGCCCCACTGGAGTCTACTTTGGAAACTGTGTCTTCCTCTCTCACTCTGTCCCACCCTGGCTCATTCTCTCTCTCTCTCTCAAAAATAAATAATGCAGGTGTCATTGTGCACGTGGCCGGTGAGGGGTGACAAAGGCATGGCCCTCTCCAGCCAGCTAGCCTCCAAGAAGTTCCCAGTGACAAGTGATATCTCCTTCCTCCGGGTTCTCAGGGAGCTCTGTATATGCACACACTGGCTTTCCTCTTAGTTCCCTTGAAGCGGCCTGGTCAAGTGAAATGAGTATGTATTTTGAACAAAATAATGTGCTTCTTTTCTAAAGAATATTTCCTTATTTATAAAACGTGGCTTATAAATCTTTGACACATAAACAATGCAGAGTAGTATCTTTTCTTCAGTAACTATGTCCTTATCCCCTCCCCGAGGCTCCAGGAGTGGCACAACTCTGGACTCCTTGGCTGGGGCTGTGAACGGGTTCCTGATGGTGATGGGGACCCTCTGCCTGCTGCCACAGGAAATGAGGCAGGGTTCCCGTATCTTGGAGGATACATCTCTTCATGGGAAGAGAGAAATTATTGGTCTACATTCCATCTCTTGGGCCGCTCACACCAGCTATTTTGGGGAAGGGGAAAGCCAGTCTCACAACACTATCCCTAGAGAAAAGATGCCAATGTCAATGTCAGCCATTAGGAAACGTCATTAAAGCAGATGAGAAACGGGCTGTGGACATTTTTATGAGCCCAGAATACTCTGGTTGGAGATTTTATGGAGACCACAGGAAACCAGAGAGACAATGACATTCATACTCTTTTTTTAGAGTCTAGTGAGGAGCAAGTGTGTGTGTGTGTGTGTGTGTGTGTGTGTGTGTGCTCAACAGAGTGTGTTTTTGAAAGGGAAAGCCACTGTTGGAGGCCATGTCAAAGTGAGCCTTATTCACAGAACTTGTGGATCTGTTAGCGATAGAATGCTCCAGGCCAAGTAGCTGTGGGCTCAATGCCCAAATCCTTCCAGAATTGCAAAGAAAGCCCTTCCTTTTGATTCCGGGATACTCTGCGAACTAGTCTTCAGAGAATGCTCTTCTGCTTGAGCCTATATGGTTGCAACAGTGTATCTGTAATTTCTATATATTCATTTTCTTCTTTTTTTTTAATGTGACAAAATGAAGCTCATAAAGATTGAGAAACTTACATAAACACTCAGATGATAAGCAGTGGAGTCAGAACCTGACTGTGCATCTTCTGTGTTACCATGTCGCCCAGAGGTACAGATTTAGGGCAGGGATAGGACAAAGGTTGTGCATGTAGAATTGAACCCATATGAATTGTCCCGGGTCTTTATTTTTCTCTGTAAATCAGCAGTTGTGATACTGAGATATTTTTTTCTCTGTAAATCAGCAGTTGTGTTCTTAAGGTATTGAGCCACACAATGGAATAGGAGGGAAGTGTGCAAATGCCTGGCAGTTTGCTTTCTGCCTTTACGGTATTGCAGTTGTGTGTTTTCCTTGAGTCCTACAAGAGGGAAGGGGCAGATTATCCAGAATATTCCTGAAATGTGGAGCTTTCCTACTCACATTGACATCTTGTGGTAGTCCTGTGTTACTGCAGCCTGCCTTGCTGCCTAACACAGCCTGCCTGTGTTACTGCCGCCTGGTAAACTGAAGATTCAATTTTACCAATTAAAAAAACAAAAATATAGTGTTTATTTATTTGAGAGAGAGAGAGAGAGAGAGAATGAGCTGGGGCGGGACAGAGAGAGGGGGAGACACAGAATCCGAAGCAGACTCCAGGCTCTGAGGCTGTCAGCACAGAGCCCGACACGGGGCTCAAAACCACGAGCCTCAAGATCATGACCTGAGCTGAAGCTGGACGCTCAGCTGACTGAGCCACTCAGGTGCCCCAATTTTACGAATATTTATTTTACTTTTCCGTACAGTAATTGGATCAAAGTTACTAAGGACCTGGCAGGTGCCAGACGCTGTGCTAAGTAAGCACTTGGGAATATGAAGACATACTTACAGAAGAGCAGTGGACGAGACCAAACTGGAAGCTCTTACAGCAGCAGGTCTCTGATCAATAGAAGAACCACAATTCAGTGAGCACCTGCCATGCAGGTCACCAGGTGCTCAGTAGTAACTATACTATCTGCTCTGCATTTAGTATTCCATTGAATCCCCACAAGGACCCCACGTGATGTCTATTCTCATTCACATTTCAGAGTCGAGGAAACCTAAGCTTTGACAAGTTATTTAGATGACCCCCGTTTACAAAGCTCATGAGTAGTAGAGTGAGGTTTCAAACCCTGATTTGTTGTATCTCAAAGCCAGAATGACACCGTCCTGTGTAGCCGGGACAGAACGATTCCAATGGCGAGGTGGCATTTGAGAAGGCCTTAAAGAATGGTCAGGTTTGGGGCGCCTGGGTGGCGCAGTCGGTTGAGTGGCCGGCTTCGGCCAGGTCACGATCTCGCGGTCCGTGAGTTCGAGCCCCGCGTCGGGCTCGGGGCTGACGGCTCGGAGCCTGGAGCCTGTTTCCGATTCTGTGTCTCCCTCTCCCTCTCTGCCCCTCCCCCGTTCATGCTCTGTCTCTCTCTGTCCCAAAAATAAATAAACGTTGAAAAAAAAAATTTTAAAGAATGGCCAGGTTTGTTCTGTGCGACTGAGTCCATGAAATAATGGGTTATCAGACTTTCCAGGGGTCTAATGGTTAAAGTCTGCCCAATTTACTTCAATTCTCCAATAACAACAACAAAAATAACAACAACAACAAAACCCACCACTATTAACATGACCACGTATATGCATCAGCAAGTTTTCTTGTGCAAACTTATAAATACACGAATGTATAAACAGCAACAACAAAAAAGAATCCCACTGCATGACCTGCTTGGTAATCTGCTGATTTTTGTTGAGTTTACTAGATTTCTACTGCGGTATACCAAATTACCAGAGACTTAATGGCTTAAAACAACACTCATTTATCTCATAGTCCCATAGGTCAGAAATTCAGGCAGATGGTTCTCCACTTAGGGTACCCCAGGGTACTCTTAGGTTCTCTGCTCAGGGTACCCCAAGGCCACAGTGAAGGTATCTGGGGGGCTCGGCTCTCACCTGGTGGCTCTACCAGAGAATCCACTTCCAAGCGCATTCAGTCCGTTCTCTGTAATTGTAGAACTGAGGACATTGTTGTTTTGCTGGGTGCGGGCCAGTGATCCCTTTTTACTGCCTAAAGGTGGCTCTCTGGTCCCTGTCAGTGGGTCCTCTAGCTCAGCAATGATTGAGACTCCTTCACATGGAGTCTCGCTCAGGCTTTACATCTCCATAACTTTCTCTTCAGCTACTATCTGGAGAAATCCCTCGATATTTAAAGATCCCTTTTCATTAGGTTAGACCCATTTGGATGGTCTCCCATAGCTTAAGATCGACTGATTAGTATACTTAACTACATAGCAAATTTCCATTTGCCGTAAAACATAATGTATCATGGAAATGTCACTAGAGGCCATCTTAGAATTCTGCCTACTGCATTTAACAATCGTTCTTTCTACGTACATTCCTTGAGGCTGTGTTACATGCTAGATTCTAGGCTCTAGAGAGATGACAGCAAAAAAACAGATCAAGGCCCTGCGTTCATGAAACACACTAGAGTTCTGGAATGAGAAATAATTTCTATACGATGGGATATGCCTGTTTGTTTTCATTGTTTGTGGCTGTGTAGCCCCATGGTATAAATACACCATAAGTTAAGTAAATATTGTCCAATATTGGACAATTTAGATTATTTTCCAGTTTGTATTTATAAACAACCCTGAAATGGACATTTTTTGGCACTGGTATCAGATAGGTGCCTGGAAATGGAATTTATGGGCAAAGTGTATGATTTTTGATACATGATATCCAATTGTTCCTTGGAAATCTCATGCTAGTCACATTCCTGCCATTTTTTTTTCAACTTTACAAATCTTCCTAATGAGATGGAACATTTTATCATATACACACACATATCTATCTATCTATCATCTATCTATCTATCTATCTATAGATATATATTATATTTAAAGCTTTTTAGGTTATTCCTGTTCATATCCTTTGTGAATTTCTCCACTAGGATTTTTTTCATCATTTTATTAGATATTTAAATATTCAATGTATTCACTTTACTGTCGGATACACTGCAAATTTTATCTGAGTTCATTGTCTTGTCATTTCCTTTATGACATCTTTTGGTAGAAGGGATTTTTTTGATCTAATTTATTCATGCCTTTATGGCTTTGCTTTTGGGATAATAGCCGGTAAAGCCTTTTTCACCTCTGTATGTAAGTATGCACATGTATTTTCTTTGAATTTATTTTTATTATGAAAATGTTTAACTTGGCCCTAAATTAAGGATTTTAGATTCTTTTTCAAAAGTATAACCAGTTGCAGGGCGCCTGGGTGGGTCAGTCCCTTAAGTGTCCCGTTCTTGATTTCAGCTCAGGTCATGATCTTATGGTGCTTGAGTTTGAGCCTCGAGTTGGGCTCTGTGCTAATAGCAAGAAGTCTGCTTGGGATTCTTTCTTTCTCCACCTCTCTCTGCCCCTCCCTTGCTCACATGTGCATAACTCTCTCTCTCTCTCTCTCTCTCTCTCTCTCTCTCTCAAAATAATAAAAAAAGCCCACAAAACTTAAAAAAAAAAAAAAGTATAGCCAGTTGTTCTGCCATTGTTCCATGAATACACCAAACATTTCAGCGTGTCTGAAATGTGTCCCAATTCTCTGTTCCCTTCTGGGATTTCTGTATAATTTGGCCTCTCTGGCTTTTCTGCATGACCCCCACACCAGCTTGATTGTTAGAGCTTTATGATGTTTTAAGCTTGATAAGCCAAGTCCTCCTTCATTGGTCTTCTTAAAAAAAAAAAGTGCCTGGGTGGCTCAGTCGGTTAAGTGTCCAACTTTAGCTCAGGTCATGATCTTACAGTCCGTGAGTTCAAGCTCTGCGTCAGGCTCTCTGCTG